CGTACCATTATAATCTACTCACACTCACACCCTCTGTCTGTGTATACTCCTCCTATAACTGTCCTAATAATGATAAAGTTTTTAGGAGTTATAACTTCCCACATAGGAATGTAAACAATTTAATGTTATTGAGTCCTTTATGATTTCTCTTTCACGTTTACCTTTTCTATGCTTCTCTTGATTCTTGTATTTGAAAGTCAAATTTTCTACTCAACTCTAATCTTTTTATCACGAATGCTTGAAAGTCAATTATTAAAATGATTATTTCATTAAATAATTATTTTTCTGAAGGATTATACTAAGTTTTGCTGGGTAGATAATTCTTGGTTGTAATCTCAGCTCCTCTGCCCTCCAGAATATCATTCCACACCGTCTGATCCTTCAACACGGAAATTGCTAGATGTTGTGTGATCCTAACTGTAGCTCCATGATATCTGAATTGTTTCTGGTTGCTTGAATTATTTTCTCCTTGACTTAGAAGATCTGGAATTTGGCTATAATACTCCTGAGAGTTTTCATTTTGGGATCTTTTTCAGGAAGTGACTGGTGGATTCTTTCAATTTCTTTTTTTTTTTAGTAGCTTTTTATTTATTTTTTTTTTTTAGGCAACTGAGGTTAAGTTACTTGCCCAGGGTCATACAGCAAGTGTCAAGTGTTCAGTCTGAGGCTGGATTTGAACTCAGATCCTCCTGACTTCAGGGCCAGTACTCTATCCACTGCGCCATCTAGAAGCCCCGATTCTTTCAATATCTATTTTACTCTCTGGATCTAAGACATTCAGGCAGTTTTCCTTTATAATTTCTTGAAGTATGATGTTTTGGCTCTTTCTTTGCTCATAACTTTCATGTACTCCAATAATTCTTAAATTATTTCTCCTTGATATGTTTTCTAGGTCAGCTGTTTTTCCAGTGAGATAATTCATATTTTCTTCTATTCTTTTGATTTTGTTTTATTGTTTCTTGATTTCTCCTAGAGCCATTGGCTTCCACTTGCCCAATTCTAATTTTTAAAGAATTATTTTCTTCAGTGAGCTTTTTTTTACTTCTTTTTCCATTTAGTCAATTCTAATTTTTAGGACAAGTTTAGTACTGCTACAAAACAGCAGATGGGCTCAAGCTCAAAGGGTTGACTATGGTACAAACATTGTTAACACAGCACTCGGTCATTAAGAGTGAAAGAGACCTGGCAGGCTCATTCAGCTGGCTGCCGCCCTGAGGGAGGAAGGAATGATCTGAATGAATCAGGCCCCATGAGGAGAGGGCATGGCCAACTAGCCCACACTATTTGGGCTCCCTCTAAAAAGGCCTTCCATTTAGAAGCTTGGGGAAGATCAAGCATATTTGTCCTGGAGACAGTAGCTAGTGAATCCGAAGGCCCCATGGTGGGGGGGGGGGAGACGCATAGCGCGCACGCGGAACATCCACAGCTGCAGACAGCAGCTCAGTTCTGCCTAGAGAAGTATTCCTTACTTCCCTGAACATCAGGCTTGATGGTGTCACTCCCCAGTTTCCAGCCAGCAGGGCACACTTCACCATGCTTGTCTGTGAACTGGAAGACCTGGACAAGCCACAGAGTTTCATCTACAGAGCAGCCCACAGGTAGGTCACTGATGGTGATCTGGTGAAGGATCCCTTCGTCATCAATGATGAAGAGACCCCCTGAATGAAATTCCCTCATATACTTTAAGATCCCATAATCTAAAGCAATGGTATGTTTGGGGTCAGACATCAATGGGATATTCACAGCTCAGGTGACAGAAGTGTGAATCCACAGAAGCACCAATTACTTGGAAGCTGAGTTTCTTAAATTCTTCAGCAGATCACTTCATGCAATAATCTCCATGTGGCACATGAAAGTGAAGTCCAAGGGGCAGAAGAACAACAGAATGTATTTCCCTTTGTGGTCGGAAGGGCTGATGTCTTTGAACTGCCAATTTGGCATAACAGCTATAGTTCTGAAATTGGGGGCCGGGTACCCAATCTTAGCATTTCCCATTGCCATGTTGACAGTAACAGCTAGGCTCCATGGATTAAGTTCGGAGGAAGGACGAACACGTGAGGAGTAGCTGGAGAACACCCAATTCTAATTTTTAAGTTCTTTTCATCAGTGAATTTTTGTGCTGCTTTTTTCATTTGGCCAATTCAGCTTTTTAAGGCATTTTTCTCTTCAGTAGATTTTTGTGTCTCTTTTATTATTTGGCCAATTCTGTTTTAAGATGTTATTTTCTTCAAGGCTTTTTTTGTGTGTGTGCCTCTTTTACCTAGCTGTTGACTCTCTTTTCATAATTTTCATCTATCAGTCTAATTTCCCTTTCTAATTTTTCTTCCCTTTGATTTTTAAAATTCTTTGTGAACTCTTCTAGTAATTCTTGTCGGGCTTATATCCAATTCACATTTTTCTTTGAGGCTCTGTTTGTAGCTCCTTTGACTTCACTGTTGTCTTACAGGTTTGTGTCTTGATCTTTCCTGTCACCACAGTAACTTTTTATGGTCAGGTTATTTTTTTTTTTGTTTGCTCATTTTCCCAGCCTATTTTTTGCCTCTTAACTTTATGTTAAAGTTGGGCTCTGCTCCTAGGGTAGAGGCCTTTCTTGCTATTTTCAGAGCTAGCTCCAGAGGCCTATAGGTTTTCAGTGCTTCCAACGTGGTATCATCTAAGGAAAGGTTTGGTCATTGTTCTCCTGGCCTGTGCTCTGCTATTTACCCAGGAAGGGACCTTGTTCTCCTCTAACCACCAGGGCTAGCACTCCTCCTTGCCCTAGGATTGTGATCAGGTCCCTTCTCCTGCAGCTTCAATTACTACTGCTCTTCTCTGTCTTGGACCTGAGACAAGGGTCCCTACTCCCCCATGAGACCAGAAGCACTTTTTTCCACCTTGGAATTTCAACCAGGGCCCTTCTGCCCCTGAGACCACAAGTGATGTCACTCCTTTTGGCCTAGGCACTATAACCTGGAACTGTGTATGAGCAAAGCAAGAGGGTCTTGAACCCAGCATCAGCAAAGGGTCCCCTGCAATCTCCTTCTGACCAGTTGTCCAACTCCCTCACCATCCATGGGCTGAGAGCCCCTGAAGCTGCTGCTGCCACCAATACAGCATCCTCCAAGGCCCACTACTAGCAGCATGGCAAAGCTTGTGCTGTGGGGTCCCAACCACCACCCTGATAAGATAGGTCTTTCCTGCCAACCTCCCAAGTTGTCTTGGGCTGGAAAACTGTTTCACTTGACCTTTTGTTGCTTCTGCTGCTCCAGAATTCAATTTGAGGCATTACTGTTTTTTGGAGTAGAATTTGGGAAAGCTCAGCTGAGTGCTTCTCTTCTCCACCATCTTGGCTCCACCTCTCTGAAAAGTTCTTTTAATGTAATTGCTTTTGTTCTTCAAGATTGTCTTCCACTTCGGTATATTTGTATTCCCAATCAGTTGTTCTTTCTTTGGCTTCTTCAGAGAGCCTTGCCATTGTGGATTCAAGTTTTTCTCTTTTGCTAATTATTTCTCCTTCACAATCCATAAATTCTGCTGTTTGGTGATTGTTAAGTTTTTTCAAGATTCTTATTTCTCGGTTGAACCACTTAGGAATATCCTGATGAGGTTCTATGCTTTCTTGGGAATCCACAATGTCTTCTGTCTCATCAGGTATTGGTAGTATCTTCCTTCTGCTTCAATATCTTTCCTCCTGATTGATCTGTTTGTGCTCTAGGTTTTTAATTGAATTTTCTTTCTCCTAAGATTATTAATAGTAAGCCCAAAGCTCACTTTCTGACTCCTTTCTTTCTGATGGCAGTTTTACCACCCAGGGTCTGGATCTCAAAATTTTCTCACACTAGGCAATTCACATTTCACAGGCCTCAGACTCTGCTCCAACAGGCTTCTGGAGGGATAGGACTAGAGCCAGTTAAATGCCTGTCCCCTCCTTTCAGGCCTAATGCAGCCCCATACTCATACTAGTCCTCTGACTTAGTTCTCTCTGCTCTTTGAGTTCTTATGCTGCCCAAGGAGAGCACGCTCCATCTCTCCTCTACCTTGTTGTACCTTCCCCTTCTTCACAAGTGGGTAGGTAGTGAGCAGTTCTATTACTTTGTGGCCCAGAATAGCGGGGTAAATACAGGGGTAGGGCAAGCTGGAAGAGACTGCAGCAGCAGCAAAGACACTACTGACTCAGCCCCTGGATCAGGCTGTGTGTTCTTCTAGAATGGGGATGGGAGGAAGTGTTGGGAGAATTCCTGAGTGAGCCACTTAGAGACAGGAACTCTCTGCTATTAATTCATAAGCTTCTCTCTAAGACTGTCATGCTTCTTGGTGTCTCAGTCTATGAAGACAACTGTAACTGCTTTTCCTCTAAAGCATAATTCTTTTCTGAGGGGGAAGTTTTTTCCAGAGCTAGACTAGAAAAAATGTCTAGTGCTCCACCTTGTTGATCACATTACCCAGAAGTCATCTAGACCACTGAAATGTCTTTTAATTGGTTTCCCATTTTCCTGCCTCTCTCCTCTGTTTCAGTCTCCACACAGCTGCCAAAATAATGTTCCTAAAGAAAAGACCTAATCATGTCACCACCACCCCACTACACAATAAATTCCAGTGGGCCCCCCAAGACCCTAAGATCAAATACAACAACAATATATTGTACACACTGGCATATTTAAATGCAAAGAAAATAATTTAAAATGTTTTATTCTCTTAAGTACTTCAAACATTCTCCCCTTATACTTAACAGCCAATAAAGTAAATTTTCATATAATTCAATTTAATAAACATTTACTAAGTGTCTCCTACATTCCGGGCATTATGCTAAGCAGTGGGAATATAAATAAGAAATGAGAGTCCCTAAACTACAATACGTTTTATTATAGCATTACTATATCAATATAAAATTAATAGTATATATCATTATCAATATAAAATGGAAAACATTTAAAGATAAGCTTATGACATAATTTGAACATGTTTAAATTCATCTATCAAAATTAGTATTTTGTTTTAAATAGTCAAAAAGAGTTGCTTACCTGATAATAAGATTTGATTTGTCTCACCAAAATAGATAAATTTTGAATTCTAAGTGAGGCATCATTGTTGACTTTTTTATTTATTCGCTGACTCTCCGATTTAGGATTACTGTAAGAAACAAGCAAATACTTTAGCCTGAAAAACGGAAGATTAATAACGTTTGCATATTTTTTATAAAGATGAGGGCTATATTATTAATACCATTATAATATATTCTAAATATGAGCTGTTATCAACTCTTCATTAGCTGTATAAATACAAAAGGGAATAGCAAAAAAATCCATAAATCACTTGTCTTTGAAATACATTTTTTAATTTTCCTTTTAATGTATCCAGTGTTTCTAAAACAAAAACTTTTAGACACTTGGAATCCAGTTCTAAGGATTTCCAAAAGGAAAGAGAATAAGCATTTATATAGCACCTACTATATGTCAGGCCCCATACTAAGTACTTTTACAAATATTATCTCATCTAATCCCCACAACAACCCTAAGAGATAGGTGCTATTATTATCCCAGTTTTACACATAAGAAACTGAGACTGAGGTTAAGTGACTTGCCCAGGATCACACTGCTGGTGAGTATGTGAGGCCACATTTAAACTCAGATCTTCCTGACTCCAGGCCCCGTGCTCTATAAACTATGCCACCTAGGTGCCCCAAAGGAAAGAGGGGGTTTCATCCTCCCCACTGAAGCCGTTTTGCCTGATCAAGTTTTAACCTTTAAACAAAGCCTGTGCCCTAACCCCTTTATCTGACCAAATACCAATTTGAGTGAATCAAGAAAAGAAAACAAAAACAAACTAGCAATGCTCCAAACGACTTTAAATATCCAAACACAGAGTACCTAGAGGTTGTCATGGTCCCTAGGCAGTTGTGAAAAAGATCCTAGGGACTTTATCAGAGAGTATCAAGATTTGCTCTTTGCATGTCCCCTTTTCTGCACTGGTCTGTTATGGGAAACACTACATCCAGAAGAACTGGCAAGTTCTGGGTTACAAATCCAGAGAGCAGGGGACCCTATGAAAAGGAGCTGAATTACCAAGTAGGAAAGCCCTAGGTGGGTTGTACCAAGAAAGCAGGAAGTTCAGAAGCCAGCAGAAATGTAACTTAGACTTCAGGAGCAGAACAAGGTTTCTTTTCTAGCATCTTGCCCAGCCTTGCTCATAACCAACCCCAGGTCAGGAATTGGCAGAGCTCAGCTAGGGGGGATAAGGAAGGAGTAGTAAACAGACTTTGCCCGGGATCAGATCAGTCTGAAAGCACTGAAAGCTTGTAGCAACAGGAATAGCCCACACTTCCCCTCAAAAAGTGCTACAAATCCCAGCCTGACCAACAAATCCAAAGTCAGGAGGTAGAAGAATAAGCAAACAAACTAACAAAAAAAGAATTATCTCCCCCCTCCCCCAAAGAGCTATTACAGTGGCAAAGAAACTCAAGAGATAAACACAGAACAGAATGACTCCAAAACATAAAAATATAGCTTGGGAACAAACAACTAGAGTACCTAAGAGATGAAACAACAGTTTAAAAAATATTAAAAATGTCTTTTTAGAAATGGATTGCAAGATTATCTGAGGATGAAACTGGAAAAGAAATAAGAGCTATGGCAGAAAGTATTGGGAAGGGAATTAACAGTTTGGCTGGCACAAGGGATAAAAAACCTTGCCCAAACAACAAACTCCCCTAAAAATTGCAATGAACCACATACAAGCCATTGAGTCCATGAGGCAACAAGACACAATAAAACAAAGTCAAAAGACTGAAAAAAATGGCAGAAAATCTAAGTATTGCATAGCAAAAACAACTCACCTGGAAAACAGAGGAGAAAAAAAATTAAGAATCACTACACTATCCTGATGCCATGACCAAAAAAATAGCCTAGACATATTTCAATAAATCTTAAAAGAAAACTGCCCAGATGTCTTGGAATGAGAGAGCAAAGCATAAATAGAAAACCCACTGGTTACCCCCCGAAAGAAACCCCAAAATGAAAACTCCTAAGAACATCATAGCCAAAATCCAGAATTTCCAGGTCAAAGAAAAAATACTTCAAGTAGCCAGAAAGATTTCAAGTACTGAGCAGCCACTATCAGGACCCCACATAATTTAATAGCCACCAATCTGAAGGAGGAGAGAACTTAGAATACAATATTCCAGAGGGCAAAGGCAAAAATGAATATAATGCTACCGGGTAAAAAGGAACCAAGAAATAGAGGAATTCCAAGCATTCCTGATAAAAAGACCAGAATTGTTTAGAAACTCAAACAGAGGAGCGGAGAGAAACATAAAAAGGTAAATATGAATGAACAATGATAAGGAATTAAAATAAGAATAAACTGCTTACATTCAAGTATGGAGAGATGATGTATGTGTTCCTTTTGAACCATATCATCTGGGGTCATAAAGCAAGTCCAATTACACAAGGACCGGTAATCAGAATGGGCAAACAAAAAACCTATGCAAACAAAGAGAAAGGAGTGGGAATGGGGAGCAGATGACCTTGAACCTCAAAAATAAAGACTATGTACATGCAGGTACAGGAATGCATTTAAATCAAAAGGGAAATGGGAGAGCCTAAATCTTCTACTACCTTTCCCTGCATGAGTTTTTGTGACTTCTACGGCATGTGAGCAATAAGATTGCAGACTAGTCATTTTCTCCAACCCTCACAACTTCTCAAAAACAGAAATTATGCACCAAAAATAAAGTAACTTCAGCTGTTTCCCTGATCTAGGACACCCTGAATCCAAAAGGCTAAAAAAAAAATCCAAACAGAGCCAGAGCTCACTCACTAGCCCATCTCCACCTCCCACACTACCAGTAGTGAAGCTGTACTGGAAGACGCAAGGACAAGACATAAGTTTACATTTAAACCCATCCATGATTCCCATTCACTCTTTCCAGTGCTATAGAGTTCCAGCTCCAGGCTGTAGAAGTTTTCTCAGGCCTCAAGAGTCAACCTGACCAAAGCTTTTCAGGAACAAAAGCCTACTGGAAGTTGAAAGCTGGAAGAACCAATGCTGGGGAAAGCAGCCTCTGTCGGTGCCAAGGGGAAAACAGTCTCTAAACTGCCAGTGCTGGGACAGAGAACGAAGGAACAGACAAATTAGGACAGGTCTCCAGGTCAGGACATCGTGCATATGGGCAGCTATGCAGTACTACTCCACTAAGCTTGTAGGATGAATTGTGAATTGCTCAACGTGGGAGAAGGCTGAGCAGATCTGAGATTCAGCCCCCAAAGAAAACTACTAACAGCGGGGAGGGAGGCAGAAGTAAATAATAAGGAAAACAAGGTGAGGAGGGAGGAGACTGAAAGTATCAAAGATTCCAGGAAGAAATCTCAAAGACCTTGAACATAAATAGATTAACCAACAAGAAAAACACTAACAACAGAAGGAAACATGGCCCTTCAGAGCCAGTAAGGGAGTTCAAGCACCTATAAATAAATACTGAAAAATAAGGAATATGATCCAACACTTCATGAGGCAAAAGACCTATAGAATCTGAGGAAACCATGGAGAAGATTGAGAAGAGGCAAAAAGGAAGATGATCCTACTTTGAAGGTGGGAGGGAGTTCCACTGATGAATGCTCCTAAGGGTAAAAGGAGATGAGGACCTTTACACTGGAGGAAGCCTAGAGTATCTGGTGCTTGAAAAGTCTACCTGTCCAAAAAGGAGGGGAGTTGGAACTCCTAGAGATGACTGGCACCTAGAGGAGTGGGAGAGCATGGAGAGAGGGAGATTTCCAGGCAATGGGGGGAAGGGAAGTCAACAAGAAAGAGTATAGATCAAGGAGGGGAGTTCTCCCACCATGAGGCAGAGTCTTCTCTGACACCTGCAGTAATGGGCATTGTTCTGACAGTAAGGCACAATGGAAAAGGGGAACCCATGCAATAAATCCTACAAGGCATTGGAAGAAAGCCTGTATAAGGTAGAAACTAAAATGGATACCACTGAAGCTTTGATTGCATGAAGAATACAGAGAAAAGTGAGAGACCACATAATCACAGTGGTCCTGAATTAGAGAATTAGGGTCTAGAATAAACGGAAAAAGAATATGGATAATGGATAAAAAGAATGAAAGAAATCCTTTTGGAAAAAGGCACGAAAACCGAAATTTTAAAAGTTTGTGAAAAATAATCTTTTATTCTAAACTAGCGTCGCCCCGGGCTGCCATAACTCTTCAGTTGGAAAAAAAATCAAATATTGCTGGTTCAGTCAGTTTTCCTTATTCTGGTGACTGATTTCAATTGGTTAAAATTCCTGAATAATCATAATCTTTGTCTATGACCATGTTTGTTTTTTTTAAATCCATTTCCCATTTTTCAAAATCAACAGCTTAAATAGTTTAGGTTAGAATAAACTAAGGTACCACATCCTTTCATTTCTGGCATTTCTTTAAGCTATGTGCTGATTTTGAGCTCTACCCTGACAAGTTGGTGGTGTGTTTATACAGAGCAAATCCAGGAATGATCCTCATGTCAGAAATTACTCTTTATTTGACACTTGCCATATTCAGGATTTCCTGAACTCTTTTCTTAAAATATTCATAATGCATAGGTGTGAAGTTTCTATATGATATATCTTATTGTGTGTGCATACTTGTACTATATAATAATATCGCCAAATATTATTACACAGCACTTTAAAGTCTGAAGAGCTCTACACATACAATATCTCACATATTCCTACACCAGGAAGTAGCTGTTAGTTACCGTCCTCTTCTTTTCCTTTCAAACACCTAAAAGAGTTCACTTTGTACTTTTTCCCTCAAACACATACTGGGCCACCAAGAAGGAAATAATATATTTACTCCATTTTATTCCCTTCCCTCCTCACAATTCTTTTAATCTCTACTCATCCCCTCACAAGCATGCTACCTTTAGCAACAAGACAAAAGAATGAAATTACAGGCATAAAGACCCAAAACCATTCCTTTTTCAGACAATATGTTGCTCTACTTGGAAAACCCCAGAGAATCTGCAAAGAAATAGATAACAGCTCTTCAACAAATTAACAGTATATAAAGTAATCCACAAACATCACTAAATGCCAGAAAGGAGAAATGCCATTCAAAATAATTCCAAAAGGTACAAAATACAGAGGT